ATCGCATCGTCAAATTTTCTATTTAAATCTTTTTAAATTGACCAAATTTTGTTGAGTTTTGGGTAAAGGTGATTTGCTGAATCGAATTCATCATTGTTTGAAAAATGTAGAAATTTTATCGCCTTGAAATGTTTTGGAGTCGTAACAATCTCCAAAAAACGGTGTATATAATAATGGATTTCTTCAATGACGGTATTTTGGTTTTCTTACTATACTTTGCAAAAATACGATGCAAAGTATAATACAATGTTCAAAAATAGTCTAATTTTATTTCGTTTTGTGTCGTATCGAGAAGTTTTTTCTCTGCCTCGCGTATGATAACGCACTTTTTGCGAATCTGTTTGTCTCATTCGCCATGCGTTGATCGATGTTGAATCGATTGTTTCGATTTCAAAAAAATCGATCAAAAAAAAACTCGAAGGAATTGAGGCAACTATAATCGCTAACATCGATATTTTTTATATCAGGAACTTCTGTGAAGACGAATGATGGAAGTGGAGAAGCATCTTGTTGCACTGGAAACCATTGCCGAGCTAAAGCAAGAGTATCATCGTCGTTACTTTCTTCCTCTGATATAGTATCGATCTCTGAATCACTGTCATTGTGTTCTAAAGCTTCATCTTCTGAACTAAATAGCGAGTCGTGATTACTTTCCATGTTCGGTAATAAAAAACAAAATAACCGTTTAAAAAATATAAACGATCTCGATGCTAACGGCGATACTGAAGTAATGCGTGATTGCACAAAAAAGAGATGACGTTCGCGGATTCGGCTGACAATCACGAGGCAATAGTGGATACAAAATGCGCGAACGCTGAGAAACGAAAAAGCTGAGAATCACCGGTGGCAACTTTTTTCGTTCGGGTAAGAGAAAATAAGCGCAACACTGTCTAAGTATACCGAGTATATTCGGTTGTATTTATATAGAAAATTAAAACTGCGGGTCTCACGAGTTAACTCGGGCGCGCGGAAAAAAAATCGTTTTTTCAAACCCGACTTAACTCGGGGCGAGTGCGCTAAGAAGTTAATCGTGTTTTATACTTGTAACGCTTTTGGAAAAAATATTTTAATACGATACCTAAATAAATAATCGCGATGAAGATATTGTGGATCGATATTAAATTCGAGATGTTGATTACTGAAACGTAAACTACCGAGGCTTAAAACGATAGCTTGCTGCACTGCTGCAGGATCGCCGATCATTAAATGATGACATCCTTGTTTTTCTAATGTTACTAACCAAGCTTCGACTACGTTGTTTATAGCATCGATAGAAGATGTATCTTTCCATAATCGCGGAGCATCCCTGAAACGAAAGGATAAAATGAACGTTCTGAAAGAAGATATTTAAAAAAAAGACGTTTGTTACTCACAAAGTATGATGCCCGCAATAACAACCTTCGTTCATAGCTACGTTTTTTTCTACGCCTGGAATTCCTTTTGGAATTTGCGATAATACGTAATATATGGTAGAATTTATTTTATAACCATTTATTGCACCATCGGCTTTAGAATCGCTTATTCTAAAACCTGTGTACCAATAACTTTGCCAACGATTAATATGATCTTCTTTTAAATTTTGATATTGAATACCGATGGCTTTTTTAAGCGCCTGTAACGAATTGTAACAAAATTAAGACGCGTTGATTAATATTTTTAAAACATTGTGGATATGTACCTCTATGGCCTTTTTTTTTGTTATTTCGTATTGAACGTGATATTCTTCCATAAGCGTAGGTTCGCTATATTGTATACTTGTCAAGAATTTTAATTTCATAGTACTTCTTGCTTTAACTTGTAACGTTCTTGATGGCGTTTTATAAAGTATTGATATCGTCACAATTTTATTCGTATTGGATAATGGAACGAATCCCGAAATTAAATTATATTCATCCATAAAATCATCTATTTGAATTCTAAACGTAAATAAAACGTATAAATAAACCGGTATATTATATCGTCTAAGTAATGATATAATGATAAATATAATAATAATAATAGTAATAATATATAAGTACATATTGATAAAATGATAATTAGAAATATTAGTTCGATCGTTCTATGTATCGTTATAAATAATAATTAATTAATAATAATAAACGATTGACAAAAATATTTAAGAGATATAAAAAAAAAAGTCGTTTATTTCCTATCTGTCCGTATTATTACGAAAGTGATTTATTTTATTTCGATTCATCGATTGAATCGTGTTCGGTAGGAATTTTTAATTTTTATTTTTTAATTTTAATTGAGCTACTTGTAAAGATAAAGATAAAAGATATTCCGATAAATTATTTATTCGATTTAAACTTCTCTTACTCGAAGATATAAATTCGTTTTAAGATAAAATTTTCAATATTTATATAACTTTCTCCGATAATATAATGTATTCCTTTATAATTAAATAAAATTAGATAAGTACTTGATCGTTTCTATACGATAATTACTCCATTGAGTAGATACTTGTGGTTTCAACGGTACGTTTTGAGAAAATGAGAGTGGATTAGTTATTTTTATATCTTGTATCAATATTGCATCGAATATTCTATGAGCGTAATATTGAAACTCCATGTAATATCCTTCTCTGAAACACTGATAACGATAAACGATTCCATTTGTAAAATGAGTAACTGTAGCTTCTCGATAAAAACTGCTTTTGAGCAAAGGATGAGAAATTAATGGTTGCCATTGTACGGGCAATGATAATGCTCGTCCTCGTTTTATATATATTAAAGCCTCTGGCAAAATAGGAATTCCAAAAATTCCATTTCCGATATATGGCAAATAATAATGTTCCTCTTCTTTTGGTGGATTGTGAAGAATATTTACGTTATATTCTCCGATATCGAAACGAAAGGCAGCTAATCTTTCGTTCATACAAAGATCTTCGATTGCTATGAAAATCAACATACGTTATTTAGCAAATATATATTACGGATCAATCGATAGATATAAATAAGTATAATAGATATAAATTTTTGTTAAAAATATTAATTTAATTATATTTGTAAATATGTCTTAATATTTTCCTAATATTTTATTAATATTTTCGTATTCGCTAATTCGGAATTAAATCGAAATGATGGATACATGGATATTTGTTCTACGATTATATATATAATTATATTAAAATTTAAATATATATATAAAAATATAAAAATTTATTTGATAAAATTAATATTTTATTTTTATTTATTTTCGTTGTATCGTTTCAATTACGAATATTTGCGTATACGATATTTAGATATTATCTCGCTTATTTAAATTGATCTAATCCTAAAGGATATATTTCTTAAAATATAATATTTTCTTTCCGTTTAATTATCGCTCTATTTGATAAAGTAAACGTTATATAATTATATTGTTGTTATAATAGAA